GTTTCAATAAAAAAACAACTAACATATTAAACTATATATTAAACAGCATTTTTATCCAATCAAAACTAGCCAAGCTGAAAGAGACAGTAATTTAAGCTGATGCGTAACTTTCCAGCTGAAATTAGCAGGCAGAATTTTAGCAAGATTTTTCATAGCATTAGCTTTTGGAACAATTCAGCCAAGCATAATCAAGACAGGCCATCTAAATTCTATTACACACTCTAATGCCAATAGAGAGGGCATTCTGTCTAAAATCTCTCGTTTTATGGCCGAATGATGTGACCTAATTAGGGGATTTCCTTGGTTCTTCTGCGTCTCTGGTGTAGAATTCTGCAAAATTTGAAAACCTGCACATTCCTCCTCTGTGCCACTTTTGATTAATCTTAAGAAATCTTAATCTAACTATGGACTCTGAAGTTTTTCCATGGACTAACTTGCAATCACTTTATTTTACTTATTTTAAAGTTACCTTTGCAAGGTGCTATTATTTCTTCTTCTTTATCCATGTGGTCTTTATGGCATTTGATATGGCAACGGCGACATTCAAGGGCAGGAGGAGGTTTGAACATATTCCACAAAGGCTTCATGCAAGCTTCACAGTTGGTTGGAAAATGATAAAGGGTAGGTATAAACTCATGTCCCTTGTGGCAAATATAATTTGACTTTTCCCCTGACGACTCTGCAGGAAATTCTTGTTCTTTTTTACTTTCTCCTTCATTATCATATAGGATCTGGAATTTGGAAAAAAGTCAGTAATACTTGACAAAAAAAACATATTTCTAATGACAAAAGAACAATTATGAAAAGGTTTCAAATGCCTCTTAAAGATTCCTCCTCCCCACAGTAATTCTTAGCAAGATGATTTTTCCTATTATTAATATGGGAAAACATTGATCTTCACCCCCTAAATTAATGGAATGTATATGATTATAATTTTTATAAAGTGATTATAAAATAACTTATTTCGACTGAAGAAAAAATAACGTTCTCAATAAGAGATGTGAAGCCTCACGAAAACACCTGTAAAAATTCAGAGAGAGAATGTTTTCTCCACTTTTTTCCTTCCATGACTTTTGGAGAAAAAAATCTCTTATGAAACAACTGCCTCTCAATGTGTTTATTTCATGTTTGTCTAATAAACATGACATCTCATCTTTGTCTACATTATACTTGGTTAAAAGTTTTTGAACAGGTGTACCTGGAAAATCCTGGGAATATATTTCGAATCCGTTCTGTACACATCCGTTTTTGTGACAGGTCGAACGTGGCAGAGTTTGCTGTCGTAGCAGAAATGCAGATATATAACAAAAATGTAAGTTAACCATGAAACACTCAAACATGAAGTCTTAATCTAGCAACATTGCTGGAAGTTTTCCCATTTACTTCAGTAGAACTCATTTTGGATTTTAAATTAGAATTTCAACTGTGCTCTTAATGCAAATTTTATTTTTAAAGCCTTCTTAAGGTAGGGTTCCATCTACTTATAATATAGCTGTCTGTCAGTAGAATGAATTCCCCCCAATCCCCAAAACATCAAGGAAAACTCCTACTGTATAAGTGCAAATCTGATCATATGACTGCTGTAGCCTACACATTTTGAAATCAGTGACTATTTTAAAATGGCAAAGAAGTATTAGGACTCATACTATTTAGACCACTCATTTTAACAGCAGCAAATATTATACACTTGGCATATAAAGTCAGAATGCCAAGGTTACTGCAAGTCTTAGTTAATGACCTAAGAACAGTTTCTTTAAGAAGGGCAATTATACAGTGTGGTTTATTTTCTCCATTACTGTTTGATTTCTCAGTTTAACCTTTAAATATAAGAAACATTATCTTAATATGTATGGAAAGCAGAACTTTTATATAAAGATCACTCTTTGTTTATATTTAAATATTCTCAAAAGTGCATAATATGGTACATATTGTGACCATAATAACATGCTTAAATTTCATGTTAATAAAGATCTCTATAGCTCAAACTTTATTATTTCTTGTGAATATATGGTAAAGGTTTTCTTACAGATTAGAGGCTATCAAACCATGATAGTACCTAAATTTTTCAGAAAAGAAATACAGAAAAGAAAAGAAACTTTCTAATCTTTTATCAGGTTGATAATTTTGCTTCAACAAATTATTGCTTTTATTTCTAGTAAATCAAGAGTTACAGATTAGTAGTATGACACTTGTTGACTATAACACATTTGCTGTATATTTTGGGGTCTTTTCAAATAATACATCCATTCTGGACTAATGCTCTAACTTTGATTAATGGGATGACTGTTTAAAATCATAAAACCATAAAAACACTGTTGTGTTTTAACGACACGAATTTCAAATTTGCTGAAGCTGCTCTGCTTTTCTCAGTAGGGTGGTAGAATATAGAATACTTACAAATTCATCAAAAGCAACCTAATTTATATTAACTAACTGACCAAAAGATAGACAAATGTACTGAAAGATGGAATTTGTTTTCAATGTTCCAGAATCACAAAAATATTGACCATATTCAGAATGAAACAAAAACATATCAAAATACTTACTCTATGTCCAGTACCATATATGGGTTGGATTGTTCCTTATCTTGTTCATTATGATAGAATAATATCTTCTTGCTGCTGACAACTATATACTATTAAACAATGAAAATGTAAGTATAAGTTGTGCTGCAAAATTGATTTTATTCGTACTGCCACATTTTGTATGATAACTTTTTTACAGAATAAAGGTATGCAAAATGTTATTTGAATAAAGCAGTTTAAAGACCAGGTATCTTCCTGCTGGATAGTCAAAACATGTGAGTATAGCTTCTCTTCCTACAAAACATACTTCATCTTAATCTGTAGCTTCAAACAAAACATCTCAGTCTCTAGTTACTTATTGACATATTTCTATGCCATTGCAATAAAAACTGTCAGCGGCTTCCATAGTAAGAATACAACGTGAAACATACCCAGTACAAAAGGTAAAAACGCAACTTGGAAATGAAAGAAAAAAATGGAAGGAGGATAAGCAATTCGATACTTGCAGAAGTTTTGGGCAAAAACTGGCATATTATCTTACCAAGGGTCTCCTGGCTGGAACAAACTAAAACTGAAGTCCAAAACATCTGGATGGGAGGCTGTTGTGCACCCTTTTCTGCTGCACACCTGAAAATTTACTAAGCTCCTACCCCTAACACTCCCCATGGAAAATTGACCCAAGGAAAAAAAAGCCAATGAACACTCTCTGCGACTGCGTATGCTTATCTCGTTGAGCTTCCGATGCGATTAGTGAAACAGTCTTTTGACTATAATATGAAGCCAGGCCCATAATTTCCAAAAAGCAGCACAACAGCAAAAACAATGAATTGCTTCTTTTGTTTCTGAAAAGTACCTAGTGCTATTAGTCGCTGCACATCATGTCAAAGTAATGTCTTAACAATTGTATTATTTACCTTTTTTACCCAACCAAATTTCTTTGTGTTGTTTCTAGCAGGCAATGATAGCCATCCCTCGAGTCGTGACTCTGAAAAGTGTTAAATAAACATTTTAAAACAATACTATATGGATATTCCATTGTTTTTATGCTATGTCACATTAAGAAAAATGGCATTTTATCAAGAATTGTATTAACCTATAATCCTACAAGCAATGACTAAAGCAGCTGGAATTTACAAGCAAAACAAAGAAAGTTCTTCTTATAGCGTTATGTTATATCACATAATTATGTCACACTCTTATTAGTAAATATATTATGTCCAAGAGCAGAAATACGCAAAGCATCATTATTGCTGCCCTCCACTCATTTTTGCAAAAACATAACAAAGTACAGATTTTGTGCTGGAAGATATCCTGTGAGGTTCTCAGTGCACCATCTGGCTGACCTTTAGCTCAAGAGTTAGAATTGGGCCACCTGATTATTAGTTGACTACAGAAAATTAAAAAACTTTCCTCTTTGACTCCCCCTGTGAAATGAGGTTTAAGGATTGTGAGAAGCATCATATTTAAAATACATGTAGTGTGTTTCCTTCCAAAACCAGTAACACCAATTTTTCTGTTAAAATTATTATTTAGGATGAAGCTCATTAAAGTCAAATAAGCACGTCTGTCTTCATTTAAGGAACTGCTGCTTTTATAGATGCTTCTCATGCAGCATTGGAAATAAAGTTGGAATTTAAAATGTATTGAATGTTATCTGGAGAGATTTTAATATGGTCAAGGTTGAGGGGCTGGAGGACAAAAACTACACTGATGAGGATTTGGGTAAACATGTACTTAGGTGCAATTCATTTCCTAACACATCCAGTACATGATTAAATATTTATACCTTTTTAAAATTGTCTTCAAGCCCTAAAAGTCCCTTAAACTGGAGATGCAAGCTGTATTTTTTTCATCTGCCTTCTGTGTGGTTTAACATACTTGTTCACTGGCTTAGCAACAGATTATTATTTTGCAATCAAATATTCACATTTATGATTTATTATCCTTCACTATTACATTCCAAAATATCTTGCAAACAAAATGTGGAACTCCACCTAGATGCCTGTGCAAGTGCAGCCACTGAACAATTAATCTAGTACTGAACGTTTGTTGATTATTTAGCACTCATCGGTGCTGACAGCAGCCAATAACTGAAACAGCTTCAAACATTTTAGAGCTATCTGTAGATTTTATTGCCTACATTTTCTTCTCATACCACAGAAGCAAATGAACTCTGTAACACAGTTTTTTTTGCAATCTATAAATATTTGATGGTTCATTACAGAATTTTCAGAATCCTGGAAAAGCATGCCATGATTGGCAGGCTAGCATAAATACATCTATTAATTTTCTCTCTAATAAAGTGACCTTCCTTCTAATTTATGCAAAGGGAACTAGGAAGGGCTCTTCTCTATCTTACCACAGAAACAAAATGACATGGTAAGAAGATATACTCCAGTCTATGGAAAGTTGCCACAAAAATGTTTATGTGAGAATGCATAATTAGGAGATTAAATTCATTACAACAGCATGCTTAAATATACAGGGGCTGATCTCCGAGGAGAGATACAGCAGTTCTAGTTAGGGATTTTTTGTTGTTGTTCAATATCTGAACAGCCCTTGCCCCAGAACTTAATCTGAAAAGACTTCCATCACATCACTCTTAGGGTAAATTTAAATTTACTCATTATTTGACTTTCAAATGACTATATTTAAAGGGTTTTCCTAATAATCAAAGTCTCAATTTAGACTTAGGATGTTTGGAGGGAGTGAAATACTGAAGAACGTGAGAGAGTTTGAAAAACACAAAGCTACAATTAGATGTACTTATTTAATCTGCACCTCTAATTGTAATTTCCCCTCACTAAATGATCAGATCCTGCTGTTTCAGTGGATCAGTTAAAGCTTGCAGTCCTAATTTTTTTTTCAGCAAGTCATGTGCGTGGAGGATCTGCAGATAAAGGGAAAACATGCATCTGGCATGCACCTACATCAGTGCAACATCCACAGTATCTAAGATTTAATTAGTTGCCTCTCCTCATGCGGGACATTCCTCCTTGAGTACCTACTGCCTTCACTGTTAGTAATGAAAAATAGGATAATTCCTTCAAGCAACAGTGTTTCATCACTACACGTTTTCTGGAGTGTCACCTGGATTGTCAGGTTCTGAAGGGACTTGTGCAGAAGACAATGGTTCTTCCTCAGAGTCAGAATCAGAACTGAGAAACATACAAGAGCTGGAAGGCTTAGTGGCAATACTGACAGAGGTAGAAGAGCGTTGGTAGGTAAAAGACATAGACTCTGAAGTGTGGGACTGAGTGATACGAACTGAGCACCCAACAGAAAGAGGGGGGAAATGCAGAAAGAATTAATGAAAAACAGCTTTTTAAAAAAAATCACAACTGCTTATTTTGCAATAGAATAACACAACAAATCTGAATGTGTACAAGAACTATAATCTATTTCTGATATATTCAAAGACAGCTTGCTGCTAAAGGGTTAAAATGCTAGCGACAAAAGGATGAAGAGATGACATTCCCAACTGTAACTTCCCAAAGTAGAAGGTCATCAATTGAAACGACTATCTCTCTCCCAAAAAAGGAAGGATGAATCTTACCAGGGAAACCATCATCCGTTTCTACTTCACTAGGGCCACAAATGCTGCTGTTGTCTAAGCCAATATGTATTGATTGGAGCTGGGAGCGAAGCTGTTCTATATCACTATCTTTGCTGTCTAGAGCCATTTGTAGTTCAATTCGTATCTGGCTCTCTTCTGCTATTTGCTATAAAAGAAGATTGATGAAGCACAATCAAAATTAATCTTTAATGCATTATAAAATCTTGCTTACAGAGATTGTTCTAGTAGCAATCTCTTAATTCAAACCACTAAAAGCTATGTCCCAAGGGAACTGAAGAAAATAAAGACAATTAAATAGCTTCTGTTTTAGTACAGTTGGATGGTATAGTGAAAGTAGAAGACTAGAAAGAAGTGAGACAGTGCCCCCGCAGATGTGTTAACGCTAACATTCTCATCACCCCCTGCTTCATGGCCACTGGTGTCTTGCCACTGGAGGGACACTAGATTTGGGGAAGTTCTCTAATGATTTTCAAGACTACAAGATAAATTAAGCTAAAGAATTTCAATTTCAACTAAGCTTGTGAATATCTGAAACGTTCATGTAGACACAATCTCTTTTTCAACAACTATGCAGTAAATTCTATCATGTAAAATACTTACAGCTTGCATTTCATTGATCTCTTTCTGATATTTAATCATCATCTGAGTTAATTTTTCCCGTTCAGTTTTCAACTCCATATGCAGTTTCCTGTTCTCCTTTTCTTTTCTTCTGACATCTGGGTCAGCTCCTCGTTGGACTGGATTCTTACGATTCATAACTTCCACTAACTTATTCACAGCCTGGGAGAAGGGAGTGTAAGAGAGGAATAAGTTGCTATAAACGTGAAGCTTCTCTACCTGACTAAAAGGGAATACATTTCCTTCTCCCCTTCCTTATGTATATTGTGGTGATAACTGCAGTCGCTTTCTCATCACCTTCTCATTTATACGTTACCTGTGTTTTCATTGTTCTTTCATAAGCCAGCTGTTTCTCATACTGAGTCTTTAGCAATTCTGTGTCATTTTCCTCTTCATTCAGATGGGCAAGCCCTATCAATAAATAAGAAAATAACTAGTACTTGTGAAGTTAAACTTAACATGAAATCAATCATTTTTTATTTTTGAAATAATACTCACTTTCTTGAACTTCTTTAACTTTGTTATTCAGCTCTTCTTTTTCATTTGCAAGGTTTGCCACATCACTAGTTAACGTTCTATTTGCTTCTTCCAACTAAGATACAGAAATTATAAGAAGCATATGTCAGGCATAGAATAGAAATAAGCCAACCAAGTGTTTAAGTAGGAGCTGAGATTGCAACAGAGGATGGGGAGGAGATAGACCCTTCCAGTAAAGGAATTCATGACAGCTATGTGGGAAGTAGACAAAAATAGAAGCTTAAAAACAGGATTGTAAGGAAAATGTACCAATGGGACTGAAATATTAGAGAAACAGAAGTAGGGCTCAGAGGTAAGACTACGTGACAGGGTGGAATAAACTTTACACAGGCTGAGTTTAGGAAGCAAAGTCACTTACATCAGATATCAGCACATGTATGCTAGGAAAAATGTTAAACTAAAATCCCTCTAAACTACTTAAAAATATACTGTACTCTCAAAACAGTATTATACACTCTGATGATCATGTAATACAAACACTAAAATCTATAAAAGGTCCCTACTGCAAACTCTTAGGCAAAGAAATTAAAGTTATGGTATGTAACATTTCTAATGTCACAATGTATATAGCCAAATTCAGGGCCAAAACCTCAGCATTTGCAGCATAACATTATACTTGGTGTATTTATTGGATAGTGACCAAATAGGTTTAGTTCTTGGAGATTTTAAGTACTGTTGCTAACTGCATTTTTCATGCAATTGTTAAAAAAAAAAAAAACACTATACAGGAATGTTTCATGTTCAAGGGACAAAATTATGCTGATCGACAAGCCTACGATTCGACTCTGATGTGAATCACTTACAGATCCTATGGTGGCATCTTTTTCAGCAAGCTCCTGTTTGTGCCTTGCCATCATTTCTTTGATCTCCAATTCTTTCACGATCTTCTCTTTTTCTAAGTCGGAACATTGTTCCTCGGCAATAGAGCGAGCCAGCTGCTCAGAGTCTGCCTTTGTTAATGTTATCTCCAGCTGTGCCGCCAAGGAGTCTCTGCAACGCAACAATAAATTAGTATCATGGCTGAAGATGCTATATAAGAGTTCTGTTACTGGCCACTACTATTCAAGCTACCATCTTCTCACCTCTCTTCTTGTAACTCTTGTATCTTTTGCTGTATTTCTTTGCAAAGTTTGGTCTTTTCTTCACATTCTTCTTTAAGTTCCCGAACTTGTGTTTTATACAGCGTCTGAAATGTTTTGAGAGAGAGAGAGAGAGAGAGAGAGAGAGAGAGATTATAGCATTGATGCAACCACATGAATGGAAAAGAGTTGTGTAAGAAAAATTGCCCTGCTTTAGTTTAAAATAAAGAATCTTCATAAACTTTTAGTCAGGATTACAATATATTTTAAAACAAGATTTTGTCAACATTATCCACAATGACCAAATAGCTATCAGTTGTCAACATTATAAAGAGTCAAAGCTATGAATTACTCTACCCAACTAAATTAATAAATCTATATTAGGAATATGACAGCCAGTATGATGTAGTGATTAAAGTGCCAGATGAAGAGTGGGAAGAGCTGTGGTCTTGTCCTTCCTTAGCCCTTCAAATGAAGAGCCTTCATTCTTCAGCTTATTGATTTGGGCTGGTAATACGATGTTAATAATAGGATTGTTACATCTTTCATGTAATCATATTATAACCAGTCGCAACACTTAGCTGATTTTGTCTGATTTTCAGAAGTTAATCAGGGTTGGACCTGACTAGTACCTGCAGAGAAGGTTAGACAAAAAAAGGCAATGTTGTATTATTGCCAAAGAAACAAACTGGATATGAAGTGAATCTTGTGACTTGAGGGAGGCTGTG